ACTTTCTGTAAAATGGCGGCACCATAATTTTGTCTTCGAACATATTGTGCCAAAACTACTATACATAACAAATTAAATGAACTTTTTAGTAGTCTCTTGTCCAAGTATCAAAGGAAATAGTCTTCACCTTTCATTTTGTTTATCTAAATACTAAAAAACATATGCAAAAAATTGTAAACTATGTGTGTGTGTGTGTGTGTGTGTGTGTGTGTGTGTGTGTGTGCGCGCGCGCTAAGAGAAGACTTCTGCATTCTTAATTTTTTTGTATGTTAGGTAAGTTGTGTTAGATATCAGTGTACCTTCAATCAGTAGGTAATATAGTTCGTAAGAGAAGACGTAACTGTTATTGTAAATTGGGATTAATATTGAGCCCATGTATGTCTTAAAGTTAGGATTTTATATTAAAATACTTTTTTGTAAGCTAGACAAGATCAAGTTCACTCCATTATTGCTAAGATTCTACCAAACGTGGTAATAGTTAAAATCTGTAATCTAACGAATCTTTGATAATGGCTAGCTGCTCTATCGATGCTTTTCTAGAAGTTTAATCACATTGCCTTTCATAAATTAAAATATTCTTACCACTTTCTCCACGTCTATATTTCTGTGGTTCTGCTCAAGCAATATCGGATTTAGAAAGATTCGTATCTGTCCCCAGCTCCATTAATTTGACGTCGAATAATTGAAAAACCAATTAAATAGTTAAGATATACACCACGCCACTGAAGTATTTGGTTGAGTTGGTGTTGCAAAAAGGATGAAGTATAGATTTCAGCAGTGTGAGGATTGACAGTGGAAGAGACTTTACTCATAGAGAAATTTTATACATATTGTACTGTAATACTGATCAATAAAATGATCTATAAATGATTGTTTAAGTTGTAAGAAAAATAAGTTAGAGAATTGTATTCTATTAGAAGTTTTTTTTTTTTTTTTTTTGGAGTTGGTTAAAAAAAGAAAAGAAAAAACGTTTTTAATTTGTTTTTCAATATAAGTATACCTCAAAAATTCAAACTTCTAATTGTAGCTGTTCCACTTTCTTAAATCTAAAATAATAATTTAGATAAAAAGATATGAAAATCAGATGGGTAAGTCTTAATTCAGGGGAAAAAAGACATGCATGTATATTGGGTGCATAAAACGCTAAACTCGTGCAGATCTCTTGCATGTCGTCTAGACCGGTGAAATTTTGTAACTTTTTTTTATAAATTCATCCCCTAAAATGTTACTCTAATAGTAGGTCCTAGCTAGAGTTCTTAGTTGCACTTGTATCTCTTAGTGATCAGAAAGGGATTGGCATCTCAATTATTTATCTTGAGTGCACAAATCGATCCCACCCATCGCCATTTGTAAATGTGATCATATCTCTTCATTTGCTTCATTCTTTTCCTCATGGAATAGCCAATCATGGTGTCTCATTTTCACTCAGTAGCTTTCAACTCACACTAGCTCAAAAATAACATTTTTAAATATACGGATCAATTTCCTCTTTGCGACTCTTAATAATCTCTAAACACTAGTTATCCTCATTTTCAACACATTCTCCTTGCGAAGATTTGGACCAATCATGTGTCTTTCTCATTTTATCTTCTGGATATAATATCATTATTAATAAATTATAAATTTTCGTAAAAAAGTTTTGAATTTTGATAACGATCGAGAGCATGTCAGATTGACTCTATATTTCACTTCGTGTCAGATTGACTCTACGTATCGTGTATGACAAAGAAGTTATATTATTCAGCCAATGAAGCTGATTCTCTATAATATTGTATTAGCAAGATGATGTTTTGATGATTTAATTAGGTCACAAACTTCAAAACTCGCGAGAGCAATCTGAAACCAGGTCAAGTTTGGAAAAAAGTTCAAAACAAAGCATTACAGCTTATCGTATCATCATTGTCCATCGGTGTCAATTAAGACCAAAGCTACAACCCCACTATTCAGCTTCAATCGTAGAATACCTAACAAACTGCTTCTAACAAAATCAAATGCGTGAAGAAAAAGAAGAAGAAAAAACGTCAAATGCTTGGGCATGCAGTGTTCGAACCGTTCATTTGGACGCGTGTGACACTTAGCTCAACCACCTAATTTGCCCAAACATTTAAAATATTTAAAGGCATCAAGGCCAAAGCTTTTTATAAATACATGTCCTTTTTTATGACATAAGTTTGACATGTTTCACGTGACGCCGCATAGATTATTTGAATGAATAGCATGTTTGATATTGTATACAGCTTATTGTTATAGTGCGTGACCGTGTGTGGACTTTTTTTTTCTTTTCTGTGTAAAGGACCCTGGTCCGTGGGTGGACTTCAAAAGTCAAAACAGATTTGTAGTGCGTCAGGATGTTTTTTCATTGCCCAAGTAGATTATATAGTTATATACTACTTTATCGTAGTATAAAAATTTCGCACATGTTGATAACATAAAGTTCTACAAACAGTACGCACTAAATAGAGTTTTTTGGTTAAAAATACCAGTATAAAATATAATAATTTTAATTAGTATATTCTCCTATTTATTGACTTAGATTGTTTGCATTTGATTAAATTTCAATTAATTCAAGTTAAAATATATTTTAAAAAATAAAAAAAATTGATATGTATTAAATAAGTATTTTAATTATAATTTAATATTAAAATTAGTGAGGTTGGACACTTTAGATGAGAGAAAACTCTTTGATATATTTTTTTTTGATAAAAGCATTCATTAATCACGGCAACTCCCCGATATATAAACTGTAAAGTTTGACATTTTTGTGTATAATGCAGTTATAGAAGAATTAAAGAAAGGATTAGAGCTGAAACGTGGGAATTAAGAACCTAATTAAATGTGGTGATTTAACACATGCATGCCTAATTAAGAGAAAGTTAACTTTAAGTTAAAAGCAGTCCAAATATTTATAGATACATTTTGCCAAAACGACAACTAATTTGAATGGAGAGAGTAATTAGTGATCTTTGTTGTGAGTTGTGACTTGGGAAAAAAAGACGAATTATATCAGAATTTTCAAATAACTAGACAACTAGAGTTTGACCCGCGCCTTGCACGGGGTGATATTTTCTCAATTTGATTTTATTAAAAGATGTCTATTTACATACAATTTTAGGAACATAGAGTGTTAGACAATTAAAAAAATGTCAATTTACATTAGACGAAATTTTGAGTGATGCATATTTTTTTAGCCTGGTTTGATTTTTGTCATCGTTTACAGTGTGGTAATCTAACATTTGCTTTAACAACAGTTTCTCCCTTTCCGAACCCACATATATATTAAATTTTAATACATTTAAAATAATTTTATATTTTGATAAATATAAAATGGCATATATATTTTATGTTTTTATCAATTTTAAATAACTAAAATAATTTAACTTATATGATAAGTTATTAGAATTTATTACGTTTAAAATTTTGATCAAACCAAAATATTAAAAATACGATTTAATTATTTAATTCAATTAAAGAATCAAATTAAATCGAATAAAAGAAATTTTAAAGATTTCCAAACATGGTAAATTTTTCTTTCCTATTTGTGATTATGGTTGATCATTATTTGGATCCTATTTTATAATAGGTTTTTGAACTATTATCCCAAAATATAATCATGTGGGACATTTAACATTTTTAGAGATTTGCTTCATTTTTAAAAATTCAAACCATAGCATATGTAGAAAAAAACTAATTTTCTTTTTTTAAATATTTTGATGTGATGATATAATTTATTCTTGAAAGTAAAGCTAAACAAAAATGATAGATGAATAAATTAATTTTTAAACAATTAATATAATACAATTGAATAAAACTTTCCATATTTTACTGATTGATTGACTAATAAATAAATTTTCGTCATTACCAAATAAGGAAACTGAAAGAAAATAATTTTCATTAATAATTATTTTTCTGACTAAATTAATCATATATATTTCATTCTCTAACCAAATATGAATGGCATAACATGTAATTAGTCTAGTAATGTTTGTCTTAATTAAAACTAACCTTGAAAGTGAACCTGGTGTTGACACATCAGCATGGCATTTCTGTTAATAACACATGAGACAAAGGTTTATTTTATAGTGTTTTCTCTTTTAATATATTAGAAATTAAGGTATTAGTAATTGTCCATGGCTATCGCCACGTCCTCGTCGGGTAGGTTTGGCTATTATCATGTGAACACATATGTAGTTAACGCCTTAACGGTAAGCAATAAGTCCAAGTGTTGGACCAGCTTACGTGTCGTAGTCCAACTAATTAAGATTCCACTATGATAATTAAACCGCCCGAAAATACATCCATCCAACATAGCGAAAAGGACACGTGAATACAACTTTGTAATTGTATTATAATTAAGATTAGACATAAAACATACAGTTCATTCCACTAAGGTTTTCCTACATTCAGAGATAGAAATCCAGATTCATATAATCATTTTTAAGATGGTAATATAGTAAATAAACGTGTCTCTTCAATCCACTGATTAGCATATAAATAAAAAGTAAAAAAATACTCTAGTTGTGTTTTTTTTTTATTTACCAAATCAAAGTAAAACCGGCTTTCATATCTGGTCATCCCATTTGATTTATGTCAGCTTCGGTTTATTATTGTATCCACTATCCAATGATTGACCGCATGAATGAGACCAAAAGGTTCAAACCATGACGTGGATATGACGTGGGTAATTATAATAAACATGAGATGTTGTTTTTGTTTTTAAATATGAGAAGGTTGACTTTAGCTGTGCTACTTTTTAATTTGCAATTTGATCAAATCACTGAATTTCAATTTAACCGCGTAAAATCTAGGGAATTTAGCCAATACCCTCAGATAACCTACCTGACAATTAAAAATCTGGAAAGATTACTTGATAATTAGTTTTTTAGGAGAGAGAATTTACTGTTCATATCCAAAATATCCTTCAACTTTAACTTATTTACATGCAATGCCATTGACCCAAAAACAGTTTTCTGATGCTATTTATCGGAAGCACTGTTGATCAATTACACGATAACACTGTTTATCAATAAACCGATTACGCTATTCATCACCTGAAAACCCAAAACAGTGTATGATTTTAATGGATAACTAATTTATTAACGTGCTAACTAATATAGTATTGAGATAATTATTCGATTACCATAATAACAATATTATTGTCATGATAATGTTACACATGCTAACATTATTAACAATAATATTAATAATAACATTGTGATTATCATGATAATATTGTGATTACCATGCTAACTAATATTCAGTTAGTTATCATATTGTAAACTTATAGTGTTAACTCTATTATTGTGATAATAATCGTGCTAACTTGTTAAAATTTCATTTAAAATATGAGTTATTCAATAACAAATTTTGTTAATTTTGTTAACATACAAGTTACCCTATAATATATTACCAAAATTATCGCTAACGTCATAATTACCTATTTACCGGTGTTATCGTCATCATCTTCACCATCATCACCATCACTTTCGGGAAGAAAAAAGGTAAAGCCCAAATCTGAGAGGAGATGTGCTGTTGGTAAGAAACGATAGCGCCACCATCACCGCTACAGTCACCGTCATCAATCACCACCACCACCGTCATCAATCGCCACCATCACCGCCACCACCGCCGCCACCGCCAATATCATCAATCTCCATCATCACCACCACCACCATTATCAATCATCACCATCATCACCACCCGCCGCCGTCATCAATCGTCACCGCTACCATCATCAATCCACTATTATCACCACCGTCATCACATTTTTTTTTTCTCCGATGAAGCAATCCATTTCACGGTAGAATAGAAAGAGAAAAAGAAAATGATAAAGGAGGATTAAATGGTAATCACATTCTAAATAGTATGTGTCAGATTTCTCACTTTATTGTCACTTAATTTCACTATTATCTAAGGCTATACATTATAATTACCCTAAAATCTAAAAACAATAATCAAGGACGTTCCCTAATGAAAATTTAACTTACTTTTGAAGTTTGTAAAAGAATCGTATATTTTAATCATTTAAAATGTTTATAATTGGTTAACTATGACTATTTTTTTGTGAGAAATAATAAGTCTTCATATTTTTATTTACATGATAAATCACGACCACTAGGTGCTACCGTAGTATAAGTAATAAGTTACGTTATCCCGTTTTACGAAAGCAAACAGTAATCATAGTGGTTGTTAACTGTTAATATAACGGTACTGAAATTATACGAACCATACTTTTTGTTAAAATTATACTCCACAAACCATACTTTTCAAAACAGGTACGTCCAAACACGACCGATGAATTAAAAACTACCTTTGTCTCAATATTAAAACTAGTCAGTTTCTTGGAGCCTAGTCCATGATAGTTGTTGTACATCTGTACAAGCTGGCTGTCTTTTGTCCACAATGCTTCTTAAGTCTTTCTTTAATATTTTTATTGTTTAAAGTAGTGTGTTTCTGTAAACTACAAAAGAATTTGAACATCAGAATCTTTATAGTCAAAGCCAAATGAAAGAAGAAGACGAGTACCGGTAATATTTATGACTTTTTTAGTTCGGCTTAATACGTAAGAAATAGGAACTCTATAATTGATGATTTATATAGATCACCTACCACACATACTCGTATAAATATAGTTATCAAAACTAGATATTTGATATATTTATCTGAAAATTATTTTCCATATATCTTATTACATAAAATTGAATTTATTTCATAACAATTCAGAATATATGGTTCATTTTTTTTTTTTTTGACAACTCGGAATATATGGTTCAATAAATAAAATAAAATATTCGGTGTATATCAGAAGTTCAAAACTATAATCAACGCTAGCTTGCGGCAGATGGAGAAAAGGCCAAGTGATAGAGACACAGAGTACGGTTCGCGAGGCTATGGGAAGCAAATCTAAAAACAGTGACCACAGTGTAGGAACATATTGGATAGAGAGTACAGTATTGACAGAGACTACACAGGCTACTTATACATTCTCTATAACTCGTCCATATTTTTTTTTTTGGTAAAATGTTAAATAACTCGTCCATAGTTTGTTTTCTCAAGTAAGCTTTAGTATTCTAAACCCCCAATAATTCAATTAGTTATTGTAGTCAATTTGTATTCTTGTTTTTTTTTTATTACAAATATCTCATGATATGGCAAAGGCAAAGAACCGTGTGTTTAGATTTTTGACTAATTCTAGTAAATTTGTTGGACAACAAATTAAACATATATGCCAAAACTTCAGTCACATAAGTGAATAAAGTGGACCCTCTGTCTTCGTTTCCCACATGAAATATGTAATCATCCGCCCTAATGACGGAATCTTGTGTATTTTCTTTTATTTTCAAGAATACTAGCTAGCTGTTGACAAAAACAAAAACTAATACAGTACCAGATTATAACTAGAGTTGAAACTTATAACTAAATAAGATCAGAGTTAACCAAGTTGTCATAAATCAGTCTAAACACTTGATTGGGTAAAGATGAAATAAAATATAAAAATTGTTGAAATGTGAACGAATTATCTCAATAAAAAATACATCAACGAGTATCCAAACAATTGATTGAATAAAAATAACAGCTAATTTAAATTAGCGAGTGTAAAACTGGGCCTACATTAGCACTAACTCACAGCCCACACGATTCTCTCATAGATTTACAATTTAAAGAAAAGTTTAAAAACTAGTATTAAGCAAATAAATTAGTTTATGAGTCACTCTCTCACACATGTCTCTATCTATACCACAGCCAAAGTCACTAGCTAATATTTTTTCCTTTTTTCCCCCTTTGTATAGATTCCGACATCGCACTCTCTCTCTCTCCCGATGCTTCCACTATATAAGAAGATGGTAGAGCGAAGCTAGAGATGAAGAGTAGAGTAATCCTAAGCCATAGAGAGAGAAAAGATAACAATAAAGGCATCTTCTGTAGTTATACGCAGCTTGAGACCATGGAGAGAAAGCCCTTTGAGGTTGACACGACGACCGATGATCACAAACCTTACTCCGCCGTCGATGGCCGTGGTGCTGATGTTACATCGAATGTCGATTCGTTCGAGGAGGACCAAGAAAAACTCGTTTACAGAGGATGGAAAGTCATGCCTTTCATCATTGGTAACTACCTTTCTTTTTTTCTCTGCAGACATTTTTTTTTCATGTGTTTTTTAGTTTATTTTTCTCTGCTTTGTCAGATTTTAGTGACGGCCCAAAAACAAAAATATGAGAATATGAAATAGACATTTTGTCCGTGATAATTTTTAATTTCTTTTCTTCTCTTTGACTTGACTGTGTTGAAAATCTTGAATTGGAGTTTTTGCTTTGAGATTATAAAATGAAATTATTTAAAAAAACCGAAGTTTTGATAATAAGTCTGACACTCAGATCTGCCAAGTCCAATGAGATTTCTTTGCACTTTTTTTTGTTCTCTAGGTAATCTAGAAATCTGTTTATGAAATGTTTTTTTTTACATTATTTTTCTTAAAATGTTTTAGTTTTTGGAAAAAGACCTTTGAAACATGCAGTTAATTTTTTTGAACAAAGTGGATAAGATTTAAGGGTTTTGTACGCTTGAAGACAAAATTAGTTTCTGTGAGCTACAGCAGTTATTATAGGTGAATAAAGTTTCAGGTGAATTGTGAACCAATGAATAAAAAAGTTTCAGTTCAAAGTTGTTTAAAATTAAATGTATAAAAGTTTTTAAAGAAAACCCATTTTGGTCTAACTAAAAATCATTTCATCTTTGAAAACAGGTAATGAGACATTTGAGAAGATTGGGATCATAGGAACACTATCAAACCTTCTTGTGTACCTGACTTCAGTATTCAACCTTAAAAGCTACACAGCTGCAACAATCATCAGTGCCTTTGCTGGCACAATCAACTTCGGGACTTTCGTCGCTGCTTTCCTCTGCGACACTTACTTTGGTCGCTACAAGACTCTCAGTGTTGCTGTCGTCGCTTGTTTCCTGGTACTAACTCATCTTCATCAAGTTTTTAAAGAGAACATCAAAACTGGTTTTTGTTCTTGCCAAGATTGTGTCTAAAATCATATTTTCATCTTTTTGTAGGGATCGCTTGTGATACTACTCACGGCTGCTGTTCCATCATTGCATCCAACACCTTGCGGAAACAAGCTCTTGTGTGAAGGACCAGATGGTGGACAGATTGCGTTTCTCCTGCTCGGTTTAGCGCTTCTTGTGGTCGGCGCCGGCGGGATCAGACCGTGTAACTTAGCGTTCGGTGCTGATCAGTTCAATCCGAAATCCGAATCCGGAAAGAAAGGGATCAACAGCTTCTTCAACTGGTACTTCTTCACTTTCACGTTCGCTCAGATCATCTCGCTCACGCTAGTCGTGTACATCCAGTCCAACGTGAGCTGGACGATCGGTTTGAGCATACCGGTCGGTCTGATGTTCTTGGCTTGCATCATTTTCTTCGCTGGACATAAACTGTATGTGAAAGTGAAGGCATCAGGTAGTCCATTGGCTGGTATACTTCATGTCATAGCAGCAGCGTTCAAGAAACGAGGGTTGAAGCAAGTGAAGCAGCCTTGGACCAATCTTTACAACCACATTCCTCCTAACTACGCAAACACTACTCTCAAATACACCGACCAGTTTAGGTAAAAATATACAAGAGTTTGTGCATCTCTCTGTTTCTTTCTTTTGTTACCTTTTGCTGAAAGATATGTTGGTCTTTGCTAGGTTTCTTGACAAAGCAGCGATCATGACCCCCGAGGACAAGTTGAAATCAGATGGAACGGCTTCTGATCCATGGAAGCTGTGTACGTTGCAGCAAGTGGAAGAAGTGAAATGCATGGTGAGAGTGATTCCGATCTGGTTCGCTTGCGCGGTTTACTACCTTGCGATAACCATGCAAATGACTTATCCGGTCTTTCAAGCGCTCCAGAGCGACCGGAGACTGGGTTCCGACGGCTTCAAGATCCCCGCAGCCACCTATGTAGTGTTCTTGATGTCCGGCATGACGGTGTTCATCATAATCTACGACCGTGTCCTTGTCCCGTCGATGAAAAGAGTGACAGGGCTTGACACTGGTATAACACTCTTGCAAAGAATCGGATCTGGGATCTTCTTTGCCGTGTTGAGCTTGGTGGTTTCCGGGTTTATCGAGGAGCGGAGAAGAAACATTGCGTTGACGAAACCGACTCTCGGGATGGCGCCTCGCACAGGAGCCATCTCCTCAATGTCAGCGTTGTGGCTGATCCCGCAGCTATCGCTTGCAGGCGTAGCGGAAGCTTTTGCAGCCATTGGACAAATGGAGCTTTACTACAAGCAGTTTCCTGAGAACATGAGGAGCTTTGCTGGTTCTCTCTTCTACGTCGGTGCGGGAGTTTCGAGCTATCTTGCTAGCTTCTTGATCTCAACTATTCATCGGACAACGGAGTATTCACCTTCAGGGAATTGGTTAGCTGAGGATCTGAACAAAGGGAAATTGGATTACTTCTATTTCATGCTCGCAGGACTCATGGTCGTTAACATGATTTTCTTCTTGGTAATGGCTAAATGGTATAGATACAAAGGCAGTAACGATGAAGACGTTTCTGAGATTGAGACTAATGAAGAGAAGGCCAAGCAGCAGGAGAAACAAGACAAGAACTCTATCTGATCGAGAAACTCTTAACGTTACTTTTGGTCTTCTAATTTCAGTCTCATCTTTGTTGTTGTTGTACTCGATATAAATAAAAAGAATGAAGTAATCACTTCTCCTCCTTTTACATATATGTATCTCTGTCAAATAATATTTTTTGTTTTCTAATATACAAGGTGGTTGTCCCGCACCTTGTGCGGGTACAATATTTTTTAAATACAATTATTAATTAAAGATTTAAATAATATAAGTAGTACAACTTTTTATTGTATTCATCGTTTTTGTTTTCGCAAACTTCTTATTTTTGTAATCTTGAGGTGTCTTATTTTTATCTTCTCTTTCTTGTTCTTCTACGTAATATTCTTCATTTGTTTTGGAATTTTCTTCACATTCCATTATTTCTTCTTTCCTTTCTTTTTCCTCATGTTCGACTTTTCTTTTTCTTTTCTAAATTTTTCATCTTCTTTTTCACTGTTTTCTTTTCTTTTACTTATGTATCTATTATGTCTTGTTTGTGTCTTGCATATCACCTACCAATTCATTTCGATAGTTAAAATTTTCAATATTTTTGAAATAGATTCTATCTTTATATAGTTGAGGTCTTTTAAAAATTTATTAGTTTTGTTATCTTTCAATTCTGGATTTTCTTTAGTTGTTTTAGTTTTTTTTTCTATTTGTGAATGTAATTTTGAAAGTAGATATAAATTTCAAATAAATGATTTTTTTATTATGAAATTCTTCTGTAATAATTCAAGTTTTTTTAAAATACACCAAAAACTAAACCCTACCCCATCAATATAAACCCTACACCCTAAACCCAAACCCACAGTGTAACACCACCCCCTAAATAACCCAAACCCCACATTGTAACACCACTACCAAATAACAACCCCCTCCCCCCCCCCCAATCCGCACACCTAAACCCACATTTTACAAAATCTTTTTAGATAAGTTTATTCAAATTAGGGTTTCATAAGATTTAAGTTGAAAATAAAAACGAAAGATGTACATACCACTAATTTTTGTCAATGCATTTTTTTTGAGTTGGTACCATAGTTGATTTCTTTGACTCAATTAGCTAACAAACCTGGAATTTACTGTTATAAAGGTAAAAGAAGTAGAAGTTAGATGCGATTCTTTGAATAAAATTTCCAGAAAATAACGAATAATCAGTTAAACATTAGATCTAATACAACTAAGATCTAGCAATAACTATAAACCTACATGACAAAAGATGAAATATGGAATCGAAGAATTTAGAACACGAAAAAGAAGAAACGAAATTCTGTTTATTTTGCTTGTTAAATAGGACTAAGTCGGTTGTAAAATCTAGAGTTTTTTTAAAATACCTAATTATTTGATTTCTTCCAGAAAAGTGGTGCGGTAATATGATAGTTAGGATATTTATTTAAGTGATAAATATAAATCGAGGAAAAAAAAAAGGATAATTATCAATATTTAATAAGGAAATTAATAAGGAAATAATGAACTTTTATATAAAAAACGAAATTGTGAAATAATTAAAAAAGAAATTCAGAAGATTTAATAATAGATTTTCATTAAGGGCATCTTGGTAATTCCGGGCTGAGAGTTAACGTGGTGGCTCCATTCACGAAAATTGATTTGCAAATACTAATATGATAAAACTGTGTTTGAACTTCTTCGTTTTTCACCACAAGAGAAAAGAACAAACAACTAAAAGCAGTGTAAGCTTGTTGAATGGTTTCAATGTCGAGTCCTCTTGAGTCTCACCACCGATTCAACATGGCCCTTGAGTGTGTCAAGTTCCCGCAAGTCCGCAACCTTTGGAAACAGAGAGCAAGAGACACGATCAACAAAATGTTTCTTGTTATACTTAAAAGGTTGGAGATTTTGCTTTTGGGTTACAGTCACTTACTCAGCGATTTCAGCTCTCCTCTTGGCTTCTTCAGCCATTTGGTTAAGTTCGTTGAAATGAGTTTTTCTGTGAACATCAATCGATAAATATGGGCCTTTTATAACAACTAAGCCCATTTGAAATCGATGCATTTTTTGTAAAGTTTTATTTTTTACTTCATACATATATTTTTGTTTATTTGTGTGAGAACTATTAAATATTTTCATTTTTTTGTTTACTCAAAATAAGTAATATAGATCTGAGCCATAATTTCTGTTGAAATTTTAACTATAGCTGTTATACTATGTAACAACTACAACAATTTTGCAAATTTTAAATAAGAAAAATGAAAAGAAAATGTAAGGAATTCATAACATTTTACATTATAAAAATAATATTTAAGACTGGTAAAAGAAATAGTAAGAGAAGCCAATTATTTCTTTTTTCTTAATCGTAACGTGGAAACTCTCCCTTCCCTCTTCCCTAGTCTCCACGCATCTGTCTCTGATTCTGTTTCTCTTTTCCCCCTTTTTCTCCGGCGACGGCCGATCATCGTGAACGGCCGGGAAATTTTCAACGAAGAGAGATTCGTAAAGCTTCTCCAGTCATTCTGAGAATTCAGAGAGAAAGAGAGAGAGAGCTATGGGTGTGGATTACTACAACATACTGAAGGTGAATCACAACGCGACGGAGGATGATCTGAAGAAAGCTTACAAGCGTCTCGCCATGATCTGGCATCCAGATAAGAACCCTTCAGCTCGGCGAGACGAAGCGGAGGCCAAATTCAAGCGGATCTCTGAGGCCTACGACGTCCTCTCCGACCCTCAGAAGCGCCAGATCTATGATCATTACGGCGAGGAAGGCCTCAAATCTGGGAAAATCCCCAATTCCGCTTCTTCTTCTTCCTTTTCCTCGCGAATGCCGAGCTTCCACCCCCAGAGGCAGCATCCGCCGAACGCCGCGTCGTTCCGTTTCAACCCTAGAGACGCGGAGGATATCTATGCCGAGTTCTTTGGATCTGAAGGCGGTGGAAATGCCGGTGGAAGCGCCGGTGGGAGAGGAAGCAGGACGTTTAGGGACGGGAATTTCAGGAACGGTCATTTCAACACCGCCGGTGGTAATTACGGTGCGAATGGTCATAGCAGTGAGCTTAGGAAAGCTCCAGCTGTGGAGAATCCATTGCCCTGTAGCTTGGAGGACCTTTGCAAAGGTGTGAAGAAGAAGATGCGGTTATCCAGAAATGTCTACGATGCTTCTGGGTATGCTATCTTCTCATTTCCCTCTCCATCTCTCTTTCCAGCAATGTTCTAGCTACGATCGCAGAACCAAGTTACAACATTTTATACTCTTAGATTCTTCTCGTCAAATTGAATTTCTTGGAATGAAATTAGGCTACTTTATTAGTTGGAATCCAGGAATTAAGCGGTCTGTTCATGACAAAATCGGCAATGTGTAGCTATTTGACGTGTCCTCTTAATAGGTTTATCTATATGAAATGCTTTATTTGAGTTCGGTTTTGAAGTTTGAGTTGCAGGAACTTGATTTTATGCATAATGAGAATAGATGATAGCTTGCACGTATCTGTGTGCATATTTTGGCTCATCTTGCTTCATAAATTTGTTTATTTTTCTAATGAACTTTTTCGTGGTGCTGATGAAGAAGCCATTTCTGAGGTCTTCCCCTAATATGTCAAGAGTGTGGTTTGTGATGAGACATTTCCTTCAATTCGTGAGTATTGGGAGATTTAGGGTAGTGATAGTTGTGGCAGTATCCACTTGTTGGTGAACAATATCTGCATAGAGATATGAATTTGAGTTTGTTTTACCATTGATTGTACCATACGAAGATGATTATTTGCAGGATAACCTAATCTTAAAGCGACTAATGTTTCAGTACTGTTATGATTCGTGTTATTTGATCTTGCAGTAAAATGAGGGTCGTGGAGGAGATATTGCCCATAGAAATAAAACCAGGGTGGAAGAAAGGCACAAAGCTGACATTCCCAAAGAAAGGCAACGAAGAGCCTGGAATCATACCAGCAGATATCATCTTCGTCCTCGAAGAGAAGCCACATCCAGTTTACAAGAGAGACGGCAACGACCTTGTGGTCAATCAGGAGATCACTCTACTCGAAGCCCTAACCGGCAAGACCCTGGACCTGATCACGCTTGACGGAAGGACGCTCATGATCCCGCTAACCGATATCGTCAACCCCGATCAAGAGATTGTTGTTCCAAACGAAGGAATGCCCATCTCTAAAGAACCTGGCAAGAAAGGTAACCTGAGACTGAAGCTTAGTGTGAGATATCCGTCGAAGCTGACAGCGGAACAGAAATCGGAGCTCAAGAGAGTTCTTGGTGGAGTTTCATGAGGGAAGTCAATAATGAATGTGTAGATAGCAAAAAGTAGAGGAAGATGATAGATTGTGAATGGTAGGAGGGATTCTTCTAAGGGGGCTTGGATTTGATAGCCGAAGAACAAACACACAAGCTTTGCTTCTGTCTTTTTTACTTCTCTTGTTTGGAACTTAGATATTTTTTTCCCTTTATTTAATTGATTTGTTTTGTTTTTGTGGCCTTTTTATGTGACTGTACTCTAAACATTGAGGTATTGCTTTGTTACCTATTTATCTTATCTAATAAAATTCAATTTATGCCCCCCAAGTCTTTCTGAACAACAGAACAAGAATGAGAAAGTGAAGAACAATATTTATTAAAGGCTAGCAAGAAAACCCCTCAACTATGGATCGCAATAAAACCCCTCAGTTATTAAAGTAATGAAAAAACCCCTTAGGTTTAGTTTGCTTAATGTCGAGATCCCTCCGTCCTCTGTGTCGTCAAGTCTGGACGGCACATGTTTAATCGAAACACAGCGTTTTATTTTATCAGAAAAACGACAACATGTTTTGTATTCATTGAGAGTTTCAACAAAAAATCCCCAATTCAAGATCCAAAATTTAGGGTAGACATTTTATCACTGAAATTGAAGCTTTGAAACTCATATATGTAGAATACAAACTGAAACTCTGAGTTTTATTGCCCATAGTTGTGCCTCTTTCTGTTTTTGTCCAAAAGATTTCAATTTGATCTCCTTTGTTTGTTTTTCTTTTTCAGTGTGAAGAAAATGTAAATCAAGTGTGAAGAAGGTTTCATAATCGAGCCTACAACATCTTGTCTCACCACTATTGTATGAACCATCTCCTGCCCAGTAACCTCCGACGTGTAATCGAAAGAAACTTGTCATACAGAAATCAAATTTGGTTAAATAACAAAACCAAAAAGACTAAACACTCGACATTGTTGTTTTCATATTTCTCTCAAACAAACTCAATACATACTTACAAATCAAAACAGTATAAGTAGAAATCACGAAAAAATAGTTACCTTGTCATTGTGTAATCTTCTGCAACATTAAATCACTCCCAATTGATTTCCCAGGAATCCTACACTCTTCAACTCTTTCTCCCAATTCTCTGGATTTTCTTCCGAATTCTAAGGAACTGAATAGATAAAACACCCCCAATCTCTTCCAATCGACTAAGAATCCAAACAATCTTCACATAATATCACTTTGAGATATTAGGGTTCGTCGATTTAGGTTTTAATTTGGGAATTTTTGAGGTTTAATGTATTTAGGGATTTCAAAATCGGGTTTTCAGACACCATGTTGTTTTAGAGTACATAGCGTGTTGTTTTAAAACTAAAAACATGTCGTTTTTCTGATTAAATAGAACGCATCGTTTTGGTAAAACGGGTGCCGTCCAGTTTTGACGACAGAGAGGACGGAGGGGTCACAACATTAAAAAAAATAAACTTGAGGGGTTTTTTCATTAGCTTAATAATTGAGGGGTTTATTTACGATTCATCTTTAGTTGAGAGGTTTTCTTGCTAAAAAGCCTTTATTAAACAGGAATTGACAAAAGGGTTAGTAAAATTCAATGTACACGTTTGAGACCAATATATATTGGCTTCACTCTTCCTTCCTCTCTTCTCTTCTTACAAACACTTGAAAGATGCAATGAAAAGATGTATAAGATCCCAAAAAGGTACATAAAGGAGAAGATGCCCTATTGATGACAAAATGTCTTTTAAGCAGTAGGGTTGGAGACTGGGAAGAGCTTTTCGACCATGTTGTTGGAGAGGATTCTGTTTGGGTCTAGTTCCCTTCTTGCTTTGTTGTATGCATCCACCGGGAAACGTTTTCTGAGTCTTGCTTGTAAGGCTTCAAGTTCCTCTTTGTCCTTTGGTATCTGATTCAATAAAGTGAGTGAATCATAAAGATATACATTAGTTAAGTTAAAAGTGATAGTATCAGTTCGTTTGGATTTAAGAATCCCGTATTTAGAGATCGGAGAATCTCAGAGTTACCTCGATTTTAGCCCAATGTTCATACGCTGAGTATTGATCCCACAACTGTTTCTGTGTCAGATGTCTATAGTGCATGAATTCATCTGTGATGTCCTTCCTCTGCCGAGGGTCTGCTGTTGGGAGGTACATGATTATACCAACCTGTAACAAAATGAAATGTAGCATCTTACAAGTGTAGAGAGCCAGTCAATGGAACAAGATTGGTCAACAGCAAGAATCTACCTAGTGAATCAACAACAATCTACCCCCTAATGAGTACAGAAAGTAGTATCATTTCTACCGGTTTCTTCTTTGTCTATGAACATTTTAGTATCAACAATTCATATGTTTCCACACAACAAAGACAGAAAGGCAGGAAACATGGTTCCTAAAGACTGACACCAATATCTCATGACTCATGAAAGTTAAAGAGAGGATTACTGAAAAAGAGAGCGAAAACAAGAGTTTACCCATGAGAATATGTCATCCTCTGCAGTGCTGAATGCAGGACTAATGGGGCTCTTACTTCGAGCTGTCCAGCGCTGCTCTATCGGACCAGGTGCTGGTATTCTTTCCTTTTCTATTAGTTCTTTCAGCTTTTCTATGTATTCAAGGTCTTTCATGCTAGGATTCGCGAGGGTTCCTGCAGGAAAACAAGTTTCTGACACCCACTGTTGACCACCACAGTCAAAGCCCAGAATTTCATCACTCCACCCAACTCTATATCCTTCTGATTTTCTCCAAAATTCCGCCTCAGCTTGGTTTACTTTTCCCACATGAACGTCATTGAGAGGATCGAGGGCAAGTAGCTTATCTCTCAACTCTGTGTATGAAAGCTCGTTAATGTCTGGCTCATTGCTGACAGGAGACTTCTTGCTAGAGTCCTGGACCCTATATATCACGGAGACAAAATTGTTTCGTTTTCATACAGTCTTTCATATTAGATAAGCAATGATAAGACATAACAATCAAAGCATAACGATACCTATACTTAACAACGCTCTCTCTATAGAGGTCACGGACATGCTGTAAAGCCTCATCTGTAGTGTACTTTGGTTTGAACTTAGGTGCCCCACTCCATTTTGACACAGGGTTGCACGTTACAACCACGACTGTGTCAGTATATGGAATATACAGGTACTTCACATGCTTGTTTGTAGAGAGCAATTTTCTAGAAAGCCAGAAGCAAAAACAAAAGTTAGGACATTTTTCCACCCTGAGCCTTCATAGTAGAGGGAGTGCTTTCTCAAATGATTGAAATGAACTATGCAAAGTGAATAGAGCAGTAGCTAGAAACTGAACAAAACTTAAAGCACTTGCATCAATTTCTCTGATTATCTGAGCGGAAGCAGATTTGTACGCTGAGCATGATTTTCCAATGGTGGAGGCATAATATTGAAGACACAGATAACGAAAGTTGGCAATACTTAACTTGTGATTTTTCTTGATCTCTTGCATGTTTGAGACGTATGTGTGCTCCACAAGTTCCTGTCTATCAACACATTGGAGGGTGACCTCAGCAACAACTCCAAGTCCACCAAGGCCACAACGAGCTAGATGAAAGAGCTCTGGATCTTTCTCCTTTGAAAGCTCAATTGTTCCCTTTGCAGGAGTGACCAGCTTCATACTGATCACCTGCTCATCAATAGGAGGCAATCTAGCACCTGTCCCATGTGCCCCAACCTGAACATAACGAACAAATTTAGAGCCTAAACCTCAACGCACAAAACGAAGACGAACGATTGAAGTTGTTTGCGAACCTGAATAATGCCACCAATCTGCTGCTCTCTAATGGAGGCAAAGTTCTGGAGAGTGAGACCATGGTCTTTAATGGCGTCAGTTAGCTGCTGGACTCTAATCCCAGCCTGCACCCGAACTCTCTTCTTCTCTTTATCCACATCGAGAACTTTGTCCATAAGCGCCAAATTCACCATCCCGGAGCGAGATAATCCGATTCCATTGGGCGAGAGACCCGATCCAACGGGTCGAATCCTGGACTTTTTCTCATGAGATTCCTTGATGATAGCTTCGAGATCAGCGAGATTCTCCGGCTGGTTAAAGTTCCTAGTCTGGACCTCATGAGTTCCACTCCAGTTGGAGACAGTGTGGAGATCTTCTGGCAACGGAGCGTAGCGGAAGATTTGGGCCTTCTTGTGTTTCGCATTTTCCGGGAACGGAAACGAGAAATAGGTAGCAGCGCCGGAGAAGAGAGCGAGTGCTGCGTATCCGGCGTACTTACGGAATTCCTTTTCTGAGGTTGAGGAACGAATCGGAGACGGAGGAGGCGGCGGCGGTGGCGGGGGTGGAGTCAACGTTTGACCGGCGGTGCAGAGTGTACGGAGAGGCGAAAATGGTGGCCGGGTGGTTGATGTAGAAGGAGTTAGGGTTCGAAAGGAACCGTCGGCGGAGCGTCGGAGAAGAAGTGACCGGAGCATTTTGTTTTACTTCAGGCGATCTGCAACCTGAGGGAAAGGTTTACTGTTCAGCAACAAGATCGAGTTTTAGTGATTTAATACAATTTACACTATATGCCCCCGAAAAGTTTATATTTTCATCATTTGCGCCGTTGTAATTTGTTTATGAAACAATTAGCCCCACATGTAGTCGTATACTCTCATAAATAACACAATCTTTCTGATTTGGTCCAGATGGTCCCGATTTCGTATTGTTCCACATGGGAGTCGTGTCGAACCATATGTTAGAGTTTAGAAGTTAGGAGAAAAGGTTGCTTAAACTCTAATCGAATAAAAGGTTACGTATCATCCTTTAACATTGACTATCCTTATTACTTTCATACAATTTTTAAATCTATGTATTTTTATTTTACTTTTGGTGTTATTATTTTCGTTGTATCCAATTCAACTGTTTTAAAAGCTTCTGATTAGGGGGAAGAGCTCTTGGGCAGGTAGTGTGACCATTTAACCCTGCTACTTCGGCACCATGGTTTAACCTTGCTTTCCCTTTGTGTGATATAGCCTAAATTGATTAGAAAGTGTTAGAAAATGAAAATTAAAGGATTTGGTGGATGGTTAACTCTAAGTTAATATTGTTTGTGGGAGAGCGTCGGAGAAGCAAGATGCAGCCTAACTCAAATCCTATGCACCCTCTCTCTTGTTTCTCCTTTTTGGTTTTTGTGGTTTTCATATGTATTGTTGCACTCAATGCTAGTTTGGTTCAGCATGTCCGCATTTAATGAATATTTGGTGGTTAATCATTCACATTTTTAGTGAATTTTATGTGAATATGAGTGGATCAATGGCCAATATAAAAAGCCTCCCTGAAAATACCATTCCGTACGTAGGTTCAGGCAAGTAGCATGTTACATTTTTCGGGTGGGGCTTGCGAGGGAATGACATGGAAGACATGGTTAATCACCAAACCGATTTGGGTATGAGAACATGAATAACTAACTATGCTCTAGTAATTAGTATTGGACTACAAGGCACAATGAATCACCTTTAATGGAAAGATCACATTAACAATAGCTGCATAAACCTAAAATTAGTCTAAAAATACTATATATCGTTAGCTCAACTTAAAAAATACCAAAAACGAATTTTGAAGATTTACGATTGAATGACGCTTCGAACGAGACATTTGTATATAAAATGTTTTGGTTTTGAAAATGAAACATATGTGAATTTTGATACAAAACCTCTTAGTATTTGAGAAGAAAAAAAATCAAATTTGATGATAGATAACTGTTTTTTTTTTTTTGGTCGAAAAAAAATATTAATATCTAGACAACATGGTGTCAAAAGCTTAATAATAGATAGTGCATGTATTTTATAACCAAAACAAAAATAAAAGGACACAATTAGAGTAAAAGGAACCTTAGGGTGGATTTTTATATTAATAAATAGAGTGAACCAGTGTGTAATCGCTTATGTAAAATTTCTCCTCCGGCTTGGAATTGCACACAGAGACCACAACGACTCTTCTTCTACTCTCTCTATCTCTTTTCCCCCTCACCAAACCCTCTCTGTCGATCCTCCGCCGTAATACCGTGCCAGAATCTCCGAGCCTACGGCGGATGTTGACTGTAATCTGATTCCCTATTTGACCAATTTTGAGCATTTGGTGGGGCGTGTATACATACACACGCGCGTATACATCTCTCTGTGTATTCTTCATGCCGATTAAATTAGTTTTGAGCTGAATCGTGGATGGGTCAGAAGAAGAAATCCCCCGCGCCTCGCTCCAAACAATCGCCTCCTTCTGCGGCGGCGCCGGCAGAGGTTGAGCCGTCGTCTGAGATTTCTTCCTATAGCTTCCATGAGGGCGGAGTTTCTGGAGCGGCCGCTTATGCGGAGCCGCTCGATTTGGCCGTGGTCAAGCTCGAGTGCGAGAAGGCGCTTATGTCGTTCCAGCGGGGGAGCTACAAAAAGGCGATTCGGCTCATGAAGGAATCGTGCTCTCGCCATCCACACTCTGCCCTAATCTACCGTGTTCAGGGAACTCTGTGTGTCAAGGTTGCTTCCGTCTTCGACGATCTGCCCACGAAACAGAGGTACCTTCGTAATGCTGTTGAATCCGCTAGAAAAGCTGTGGAGCTCTCTCCCAACTCTATCGAGTTTGGGCATTTTTACGCGAACCTGCTTTACGAGGCTGCCAACGACGGGAGGGACTCGGTGGAGTTTGACGAGGTTTTGCAAGAGTGCCAGCGAGCTCTCACGATTGAAAACCCCATTGATCCTGCTAAAGAGAGTCTTCAGGATGAGAACCAGCAGAAGATATTGACGCCTGATGCTCGTATTGTCCATGTGCAGGAGGAGCTCAAGTCACTGGTACAGAAATCTAACCTTGCTTCATTGACCACTTGGATGAAAAACCTGGGAACTGGTGAAGAGAAGTTTCGGCTGATCCCCATTAGGAGGATGGCTGAGGATCCCATTGAGAGTAACTTGATCCAGGCGAGGAGACCGAATGAGATTAAGAAAGCTACCAAGACTCTTGAAGAGAGGAGGAAGGAGATTGAAGTGAGGGTAGCTGCGGCTAGGTTGTTGCAGCAAAAGACAGAATCTTCTCCGGCTGAGAATGTTGGAGCTGTTAATAACAAGGAGTCAGATACAACATTAGGCGCGGGTCAGAGAAGCGGGGAGAGAAGAAAGCATGGAAATGCAAGGAAAGTCGGCTCCACCACTGAGAGAAGGGATCGAGTTAGGTCATACTGGGATTCAATGAGCAAAGAAATGAGGAAAGAGTTGCTTAGTGTTAAGGTTAGTGATCTTAAGAGTCACTTTGATGCATCAAAGGATGGACAGGCGAATGAGATAATAAGCGAAGCACTGTCCTTTTGTGAGGCCAATAAGACTTGGAGGTTCTGGGTTTGTTGCCGGTGCAGTGAAAAGTTCTTGGATTCGGAGTCTCATATGCAGCATATTGTTCAGGAGCACATGGGTAACGTTTTACCTAAGATGCAAATGGTTTTGCCTCAAAGTCTCAACAATGAGAGCATTGAGATGCTTCTCAGTTCCCCATGGAAACCATTAGATCTCTCTGCTGCGGTGAAATTGCTTCGCAGTCAGCAGAAAATCCAAAACACCGAGTATAGTGAGTTTCACTGTGAAGATAATATGGAAGATGGTGACGACTGCTTCAAGGATGCATGTGAGGATACTTCACCAGAGAAAGAAAACATTGGAGATGCTTGCAATGAGTGTGATGAGCATGAGTCTGAAGAGGGTAAGCTGTCGATTCCATTTCATCTTCCTGATGAATGGCCGATATCTGATGATCCTGAACGTACAAAGCTCCTTGAGAAAATCCGTTCAGCCTTTGAGCTACTTATCAGGCACAAATATTTAGCTGCCAGTCATCATGATAAGGTGATACAATTTACTCTGGATGAACTCCGCAATCTAGCCTCGGTTTGGCAGTTCTTAAATTGTGGTTTGGGTCAGTCGCCCATATGCATTTGCTTTTTGGGAGCCACCCAGCTTATGAAAATTCTCAAATTCCTTCAAGATTTATCACAGGCCTGTGGATTGAATCGATATTCTGAACAAAATAACCACAACGATGAAGTTAATTCTGGTGACCTGGGTCTTGAAGTTACGGAGGAGATTCTTCTTGACGGTGAAGATTTATGTCTTCTTCTAGCTGAAAAATTGCTTGGCACGGAGTGCATCCAAGAGAAGTATATGGGATCAGCATTGAATAATGGAGCTATAGCAAGTTCTGGAGATATTGCTAATGGCAATAATGTGTCTTCTGGTGGGGATGAATTTCTTTCATGGATCTTCAAAGGACCCTCTAGCGGGGAACAAATTGTGTCATGGATGCGCACAGTGGAAGAGAAAACAAATCAAGGACTGGAGATCATGCAGATTCTTGAGAAGGAGTTCTGTCACTTGCAGAACCTTTGCGAGAGAAAATGCGAGCACTTAAGCTACGAGGGAGCACTGCAGACTGTTGAGGACCTTTGTCTTGACGAAGGCCGAAAGAGGGAGACTTCAGCAGAGTTTACCCATGAAAGCTATGAATCTGTGCTAAGAAAACGAAGAGAAGAGCTAAATGAGAGTGACCATGAGTTGGTGTTTATCAGTAGCAGATTTGAGTTAGAGGCTATAACAAATGTTTTGAAAGATGCAGAATCTCTTAACCACAATCAATTTGGATATGAAGATCCATATCCCGGCACGAGTTCTCAGCTGCGTGATCTGGAATCAGGGGAAGCCGATGAATGGGGGATGAGGGATTCCTTTAATGAGGCTGATAGTTTCATTGAGATTGCTATCCAGAAACAAAAAGAGCAGTTGTCTGCAGAGGTAACTTTTTTTTATCTTTACGCAATACCACTGGGATAAGTCTTTTTCCTAAGTTCTCTGTGTGTGCTATCGCAGCTTAGCAGAATCGATGCACGTATGATGCGCAATGTTACTGGGATGCAGCAATTAGAGATAAAGCTTGGACCTGTTTCCACCAATGATTATCAGTTAGTATTGTTACCGTTGGTGAAGTCCTACATGCGGGTAATTATCTAACTCGTCAGACCTTTATTGCAGTGTTCTTTCAGGTTCTAATTGGCATTTCTATCTTAATCTCTCCATCCAGGCACATTTAGAGGCTTTGGCAGAGAAAGATGCAACTGAGAAGTCTGATGCTGCCAGAGAAGCATTACTTGTTGAGCTTGCCCTTGATTCTAAGAAGGAAGCTCGAGGAAGAAACGATAATTCAAAACACATGAAGGAAAAGTCCAAGGATAAGAAAAAGATTAAAGACACCAAGAAACTGAAGGATTCAAAGGTTTGAATAATTTTTTTGTCTACTAATTCATTATTTCTTGTCTATATTTGTAAAAAGAGAGGCATTTCTTGTTGAGCTTGCTTAAATGTTTTGATACAGGCTTCTATTGGAAATGACCATCGCTTCAATGTTGATTCGACTGAACGCAGGTTAAGATCTGCTCCTTACAAATTTTTTAAGCTGCCCACTAAAACCTTTCATTCTTAAAATGTTGGTGGTGAATGACCTGTCTTTGATGTACTTGATCATTTCCTGTTCCAGTCTCCGTCCGGTTTCATCTTTTGGTGATCATTCAGAGGCTGACGTTGTTCCTGAAGCTATTGAAGCCTTAAAAGAACAGGAAGAGGAGTATAGACGCCGAATAGAGTTAGAGGAAGAGGAGATAAAGCTTGAAAAAACTCTAGAGTATCAAAGAAGAATTGAGAATGAAGCTAAGGAGAAGCACATTGCAGAACAACAAAAGAAATTCAGCTCTTCAGTTCCAATGAATAATGCAGAGGCAGTTTATGATGTTTCCAGAGATAATGTCGTTGATGATTTAGATTTACAAGAACAAGAAAAATCCGCGAGTCAGGTAACCAATCCTGTCCATAGAGTGACAAGGTTATTGAGTTGTTTTTTCTGAATATCATTTGACATTATTATTTTTTTTCGTTCCTGTGCTTTACCAGGAGGACTGGATTCAGCGGAATAGACTACCTGATAACTTGGAAGGAACCAAAGTGAACACAAATGGTTGTTTGCCGTCATCAAATCATGGTGCGATAACTGATACTGCAAAGGTGCAGCATGTTAAGTCCCCAAAAGGTTGCCACTGATCTTCGAATTTGAAAACATGTAGCTGCTGAGCCTTTCCGAGACACTCATATTGTTTTTTTGGTGTTGTATTAGTGCCTAACGGCATAGCTACCCAAGCTAGCATTTTCCAATCTGATCAGCGCACCGGGAGGAAGAGTAGACGCCAAAAAGCTTCTAACAAGTCAATCGACGGAACATATCAGGTCGCACCTTCTGAGAGCGAGAATAGTGAATCTCAGAGGTCAGGCACCGATGGTGAGAGACAGTCTGAATTTCTTCTTACCAATGGTGGTAAGTCTTTTCTTTTCCTTTTTGTTTGTCTTTGTCTCATGTTTCCAAAGTATTGATAGCTGTGATGTAGAGATGAGCTGATTTGGATCTAGATTTATTTTCCTTAGCTTATTGATTTTTGTGAACTTAAATATAAGATACGCTTAGGAAATGGCCCATTAAGGTACAAATGAAACTGCTTTATCTGGCAACACTTTAACAGTTAGATTTCTTATAACTAATGCCTCTGTAACCTAGTGTATCTTGATTTGGCTTTTCTGTCTATTATGAATGACAGTATGTGCATTGATATTTAGCAATTGTTGTCAAATATCATTCATCTTGCATTCAGTATCTTATCCTGGTGATGTAGATGCGGGAACAAAGACATTAAGACAATTACAAGCTGAAGAGGATGAAGAAGAAAGGTTTCAAGCTGACCTTAAAAAGGCAGTGCGTCAAAGCCTTGGTAGTTTTCTAACCATCTGTTTGAAAATTATGCTACTTCAACTTTAAAGATTATACTACTTATCTCCATCTCAGGACTCGTACTTTTATCTGATTCTTTGAGGAATTATTTTAGAAGAATATTTATTTTTGCAGGAATGTACGTCTTTTTTTTCCCCCTTTCATGCTATGAAAAATCTGACAGTGGAACATTTTATTTCAACGCAGACGCGTACCAAGGAGGTAGAAATACGATGTCAGGTTTGAGGACATCTTTGGAAGTAAACGGTGATGGGGTTTTATTTGATGTCGCAAAGGAATCTCAGAGCTTGACAGGTGTTGCCACATTTGGTACAGGTCTTCAGAATGAAGTTGGTGAATACAATTGCTTTTTGAATGTCATTATACAGGTACCCTTCTTTCTCATAAACTGATTGATTTCTCGGGTGTCAATGTCTATAACATCCAGACTGACTGCTGAATACTATTTTTTTGTTTGTTTTGTTTTGATCTCAGTCTTTATGGAATCTGGGGCTGTTTCGGGCTGAGTTCTTGCGGAGTTCAACACTAGAGCACCATCATGTGGGAGATCCTTGTGTTGTCTGCTCATTGTATGATATTTTCACTGCTTTAAGCGCTGCTTCGAGTGAAACACAAAAAGAACCTGTTGCACCTTCATCTCTCAGGATTGCACTAAGTAACTTGTATCCAGATAGCAGTTTCTTCCAAGAGGTAAAGAAAATTGATCTCTTTTAAATGTTTTTATCCTTATACAAAGTAAGCTTTTTGCCTAAACTTGGGCGTCATATGGTGGACAGGCTCAGATGAACGATGCTTCAGAAGTATTGGCTGTGATTTTCGACTGCCTTCATCACTCATTTGCTCAAAGCTCAACCGTGTCTGACACAGACTCTTCTGAGAGCAACTGCACGGGTTCGTGGGACTGTGCCAACCGCACATGTCTTGTCCATTCTCTGTTTGGAATGGATATTTTTGAGCAACTGAATTGCTACAGCTGTGGACTAGAGTCTAGGCATATGAAGTACACTTCCTTCTTCCATAACATCAACGCTAGCGCCCTACGCAGCATGAAGGTATCACACGACTGTTTATTACACTTTTAAAATTTCACACATTTTTGTTAGATAATTCACTGTGGTTCTGCCCCTACTGTATGCCCAACAGGCTGCATTTGCTGAGAATTCGTTTGACGAACTTCTAAACCTTGTCGAGATGAACCACCAACTAGCATGTGACCCCGAAGCTGGTGGGTGTGGGAAACAGAACCATATACACCATTTTCTCACCAATCCACCACAAGTTTTCACTACAGGTAAAATGTTTCTTTTGGCAAGGTATCTAACGATTGTATGCTTTTTCAGAACACTAAATATTTGTGTATTGCGTTTTGGGGTTGACAGTTTTAGGGTGGCAAAACACGTGTGAGAGTGTAGAAGACATAGCAGCCACTCTTGCAGCCTTGGATACCGAGATAGACATCAGCATCATGTACCGCGGTCTGGAGCCTAAGAGCATATACAGCTTAGTTTCCGTGGTACGCATTTGTTTGTGTTTTCCCTGTTTGCATATAACCTTATAAAACTCCTGGCCTCTCATAATCTAACGTTGTTCTTCTGCAACTCCAGGTTTGTTACTATGGACAGCACTATCATTGCTTCGCATATAGTCATGAACACAGTCGTTGGATCATGTACGATGACAAAACCGTCAAGGTAAAACTAAAATACACTTTGACTTTGCTGTTCCATACACTCTTCCACATTATCTTTTCATTTTATGTTAATCTCTTGTGATGTTAATATATAGGTGATCGGTAGCTGGAGCGATGTACTGTCTATGTGCGAGAGAGGACACTTGCAACCACAGGTTCTTCTCTACGAGAAAAAACGTTAAATCACAAAAAAAGAAGCAAAAAGAAAAACAGACCAAAGTACAGTTTAGGAGATCTCGCAAGTACAAACTGCAAAGGAAGCAAGTACTTTTTTTTTGTCTGAAAATTCGAGCGGAAAGAAAGCGATAGATTTACTTTTTTTTTGTTAAGTGGGAAATATCAGTGGTTATAAGACTTCGGGGTTGGGGAAGAAGATTTTGTCTGAGGTTTAAAGCAAAGCAGTGTTTTCAGTGGAAGAAGAGGTCCTGGGATAGTTTTCTTGGCTAAAGCGTTGTCACATTAAGCATTTATATGTTCATATAAATCTTTACGGCCTTCCAAATAAAGGAAATAAAATCTACAGTCTTTTTTATTTGGTTGGTCTGTCTTATTATGTCTGAACGTTAAAGACTTACAGTTTAAAAGAAGTTACTCTTCAATATTCATATTCTGCTAATCGCTTTACGATTCTTTTTACTATGACTTTTATCATAAAATTCAAACAAATCTAACTAAGAAACCATATGATTCTAAAGAATATCCAAATAACAAATATGATTGGAAGAAAAAGCTAAATAACTTGTTTGATTTTTTAGTTTCGTACAAAGAAATGTAATTCAAATAAACCAAATCTATTCAAAATTCAAAAGTTAGATTCTAATCTAGTATCAAAACAAATAAGATATTCCCGTGGTCTACATATATTATAAGTACAAGAAAACAAGTACTTGAGATCACTATTCTTAGTAAAAACGAACAGACTCAAAATCCCAAATAAAAAACAGTCCCTGAAGATTCGGTTTAGCTTTTTTTAACCTAATAGCAAATCTCTTTTTGCTTAGTCGTCTCCCCCGTACAGCAAAATCCGCTCTATATAACAGACTCCTTTCTTCTCTACCTTTCTCATTTACCATAAACCATTAACACATTTTTTTTATTTTTTTTTCAAAACCATTAACACACACAACACACACAGTCACTCACACACGCACACGCACACACACACACACGTCTCAATCAAAAATCATTTGGCTCTGTTGTCTCTTTACATTTCTTATCGATTTCTGTTTTCCCCATCGAATGAGCCACGTAAAAACCATCCACAATCCCATTGGGTCACTAGAGAGGTTTTTGGATCTTCTCTTGATCTCTCTCATCGTTTACATGACTCTGAAAGGCGGCACGAGTGGGGCGTGTGCCGCTTGCAAATACCAACGCAGACGCTGCGCCGCGGACTGTCCACTCGCGCCCTACTTCCCAGCGGAACAACCGAAACTCTTCCAAAACGTTCACAGGCTGTTCGGGGTCAGAAGCATCGTCAAGATCCTAGAGAACCTGGACGAAGCTCAGAAACCAGAAGCCATGAAATCTATCATTTTCCAGTCTTATGTCCGTGACCGCAACCCTGTCCACGGCTGCTTGGGCATCACGCATCACCTTCAAATGATGATATATCACGCTGAAGAAGAACTCAAAGCCGTAAATTCACAGCTCCAGCTATACCGCCATCAACAAAACAACAATGGTCAGAATCATCATAATCCTCACAATCAGATGATTCACGAGATTGGGGAGAAGCAAGAAGACGTTACCTCACAGCAGCTAGATTTGGGAATGGGACTTCCTGTTAGCAACAACCAGAGCAATGTGACGCCATTTTTTAGTCCTTTGTCGGTTTCTGAAACGCAGCAACAACAGCCTCAAATGTCTTACACTTATAGCTGCAGCGAGGTTAACAACAATGGTTATAGTCCTCCTGCGTATACAGATTCATGCAAGGACATTCTCACCAGGAACCATAACGATCCTGCTTTGGTTTGGGGTGGTCAGAATCGGTTTCCTTATCATTCTAACGACGGATTCATCAACCAAAACGAGAGCTGTAACGAGATGAAGAGCAATAACGGTGTGATGGCGATACAGTCACAGCTCGTTAATCTTCAGATGGCATCGAATCAGCAAGAGGAAGAAGATGATGTTCACGAGTACGATGAAATCCATCAGTTCCTCGAAATCATCGATGACAGGCAATCATTCGCGGATTCTAAAGAAGCGTACGCATCAAGGTAGGTCTTTTCTGCACATTTTATTTGTACGGATTGTTTTGCTAATTTTATTTGTACGGTTAAAAAAATATATATAAGAAACTTGGGGGGAAAATCTTTAAATCTGTTTTTTAATTTTAATTTTTTTTTGGGTGGTTGCAGCTCGGGTGAATCGTTGAAGGAGCCAATAGATGAGATCGGAGAGAACGAATTAAGAAGTGCGGCTACTTGCTTCAGTCTGACCAGTGTGAATTGATTCTCAATCGTGATCATGAGGTGGTCTTAAGGGAAGAAGAAGAATTTTGCCATTTTCACACGTTTTATTCAAATTTTGATTCTGAGTTTTTTTTGTTTTTTTTGATTAATCCTGAAAACGTAGACATTTTTATATTCTATTTTTTCTTAATCCTTATCTTTTGTTTTGTTTCTAATAAAGAGCTGGATCTTATAGTAGAAGCTAGATTGTGTTTAACTAGAATCTTCAGTTTTTGTTACCAGAAGAATAATAATGTTTTGTCTCGATCGCTTAACCTACCTTGCAACTTGGGTTAGTACCTTTGGAGTCAAGGAACAGTTTGATCTAAGATAAATATATTGTTAATCCGCATAAGGTAGTGGATTTTGTCTTGGCTGAAGAGAATGATTGTATAAATGTAGTAACAACAATGAATCTGAGAATATTTGAGCGTCAGGATGGTATTTCTAATCACACATTTCCAGGTTCTTGGTTAAGTGGCTTTTCCAAATGCAACTATGATGCAGCTTTTGACAATAACACTAAGGAAATAGCTTATGGATGATGGGTTGATTGTGATCATTATAGGTCTTTCAAGGTACAGTAGTAGTTATGAGTTTAAAATTGTTAACGTTTTGTTTTATGCAGACGGAAATCTGAAGCATATACGTTTTATATAATGGGATAAAGATCATATATTTCACATATTTTATGATAATGATGAAACTAATAGATCTTCTTTAAATATGGTCTGTAAATTGCTACTAAAATTGTAAGAATCCCTTTTTAATTCCAGAATAATTTAATTAATGATTTTTAAAAAACCTCTTCTTGATTTTCTAGCAAGACCGTACTTTAAAAATCTCTTTTTAATAAAGGTTTTCTTGTTTTTTTAGCAATACCGTACTTGAAAAGGATTTTAAAAATCTCTTAAATTTTTCTGTTAATATTACCCCTTTTTTTGGTCTCTTGTTTGATTTTGAAATTGAACTGTTTTCTAATAAGTTAAGTAAGTTACATTTTTTTAATATCTTGATCTTTTACGATAATATTTCTTTGAAATGTCGATTTTCAAAAATTTATTAAAAAAATATAATTCACCAATAACATGGCGTTAAAAATGTTACACCTCCAATAAAATCATAAACATATTTCCTGTGGACCCCTCCAACAGAAGATAGAGATTTTTTTGTGGGTCCCTTTCGAACCAGAGACTTGTTAAAAACGACAGCGTCTTCGCTGGACAAAAAATCTGTGTGTCAAGCAAACAAACAATATCATCTCACCTTTCAAGAAAAAAAATCAGTGGCGACCAAGAGAAAATGGTAAGTATCATAACTGGCCTATCAAGACCAGTTTGCTTCTCTCCACCTGCTACGACAAGGTAGAGATCTTTTCACTGATCCCAGATTAGAATCGATAGTAGATCTATTTTTTTTCTGACACAATCAAAATGCTGCTGTTCTTCCAGAGAGTTTCTAAAGAAGCCCAAGTTAAAATGTTCCTTGGAGAATCCAATCGAAATCCAAACTTTGAGGAAGCGTTGTGTTTCAAGTTTTGCTGCCATTTTGCTTCTCTCTCAGGCAGGCCAGGTATGCTTGAGCCGACATTGCCAAATATCTAATTGCATCCAAAAAACCCCTTTTGAATTCCTGAGCTTCCTTGTATTCTTGCAGGGTCTTGCGTCAGATCTCTCATCTGGTCATCAGAACATTTGCCAACTTGGGAGTGCTGCTGCTGCTGCTGTAGAACAAAACAAACCGACTCTCCCACTTGAGAATGCCTCTGATGCTGACAACCCGGAAACGATGATGATGATGATGACGAGAGGCATGACTACTAAGAACTTCGATCCAGTTAGATACTCTGGAAGATGGTTTGAAGTTGCTTCTCTTAAGCGTGGTTTCGCCGGTCAAGGCCAAGAAGATTGCCATTGCACTCAGGTATATCTATATATTGTTTCTTTAACTCCAATGTGAACATCTTTGATATGTATATTGAGAAATTCTGTTTTCACTCGTTGCAGGGCGTATACTCGTTTGACATGAAGGAGCCAGCCATCAGGGTTGATACGTTCTGTGTTCACGGAAGCCCTGATGGGTATATAACAGGAATCAGAGGCAAAGTTCAATGCTTGGCAGCAGAGGATCTTGAGAAAAACGAGACTGACTTGGAGAAGAGAGAGATGATTAAGGAGAAGTGTTTTCTTAGATTTCCAACGATACCTTTTATTCCAAAGTTGCCTTATGATGTCATAGCAACAGACTACGACAACTATGCTCTTGTTTCTGGTGCCAAAGACAAAGGCTTTGTTCAGGTGATTTCAACAGAACAAGAACAACTTTCGTTGGACTTTTAATATATGTCTGTTGCCATTCTCTTATATAGACTTTAATTAATGGTTTGATATGTCAGATATATTCAAGGACACCAAACCCTGGACCTGAGTTCATTGCCAAGTACAAGGACTATTTAGCAACATTTGGTTATGATCCTGGGAAAATAAAGGATACTCCACAGGACTGTGAAGTGATGTCTGATGGTCAGTTAGCTGCTATGATGTCTATGCCAGGTATGGAGCAAACGCTGACAAACCAGTTTCCAGATCTTGGATTAAGAAAGTCTGTCCAGTTTGATCCTTTCACAAGTGTGTTTGAGACCTTGAAGAATTTTGTCCCTCTCTATTTCAAGTACTAGACCAGCTTCTTTGTACTCACAAATCCTTTTGTAGATTATTACCAATGTCAATACGCTTATACAGTATTCCCGACTGACTGTATATACAACTTTCAGAATCAAACATATGCTTTCACAATGTTTCTGTCTGCTAAGCCTGTGTTGTTACTAGGGATTACTCTGAAATGTTGTTAGGACTGTTGTAGTTTACAAAACTTCTATGGTCTGTGAGTGTGATTGAGCATGAATTGTGAATCTCCTATGTCTATAGAAGAAGACGCCACTCAGCTTTTCTCTTTATTTAGCTCAGCTTCGTCTATTTGCTAAATTCTCTAGTATGATTATTAGAAGCATAATATAAGAGCCACATGGATAAGAAAGATTTTGATCAAATTAATAACAAAGCAATAGTCCGAAGAACGTTCTTGCACGCTTAAGAGAAAAAATCTTAAACAAGGAAAATATAGAAAGAATGAAGGATTCAACAAGGATCTACCAGATATTGGGCCGACTTTTTAAATACCCAGCTCGATTACCTCTCAGTCGGTTTAGTTTCTAAAAGGTCCCACATCGCTAATACATATTTCGTTCGCTCCAACACGACGCATATAAAAACAGTCCTTCACCTTTCTAGCATTTCATACCTTTCTCGGCCTTTTGGCTAAGATCAAGTGTAGTATCTGTTCTTATCAGTTTAATATCTGATATGCGGCCCATTGGGTTTAGCTCGATATTAACTCTATTTTTTATTGGGGGAGAGTCTGCCACGTCAGCTTGCTGATTGGACTCTCACGTGTCGCCCACGTCTTGCACTACTGCGAGGGCCAGGCACACCTCACCAACTACTAGTTCAAATTTTGGCAACATAAATATTTGCTACTAACCAATTCAAAGCGGTGAACTTGACCAATAGTTAAATGTCGTGAATATATTAGAAACCGAGCAATAACTGATACCAAACTAGATTTCATCATAACCAAAAGCGCGACATACACCTAGTTTTAATCAAACCGAACCATAAAAACAAAGCTAAATGCCTAAATCTAACAAAATAATGTAGCCTAGAAAAGTAGAAAACCAGCCAAGTGGGCTTTTAAACACATATTTGTGGGCTTGCAGCTGCAAAAAAACCGTCGTTTGTGGATACTTAAAACGGCACACGTTTCTCATCTCCCAGAGCAAAACGTTATGCAAGTCAGAAATCCCATCGTCATCTCATATGATAGACGTTTGCCGAACGAAACGGCGAATTCGACGAACGGAACCCCAGAAAACGATGGTGGCGATATCCATGTACAGAGGCAACCTCCACAAAGTTCCCGACGTGCCTCGCCGATGGAGAATGCCGGACCGTAATCTCTCTTTCAAGGACTTCAAATCTCTCCTCCATCGCCGTAAACGAGCTCTTTCTCGTCTCTCTCCTTATTCCAACCCTAACCTGAGCCGTAACGTCAAGTCTGAGCTGATTACCGAACTGCAAGATGCAATTCGATCTGAAAGGCCCGGTTCGTCTGGGAAGCAGAAGCTCGTTGAGGTGAAGAGAGAGGAGATTGGTGGGAATCGGGTTAGGGGAGATGAGAATGGCAGATGTGATGGTTTTGAAGGAGCTCGAGCAGGAGGATCGGACGGTGGAGATCGTCCCGGGAGTGTGATGGAATTGCTATCGAAGAAGGAAACTGATAATGTGCCACACGAAGATCCGGCGAACGAGAAGGCGGAGGTATGTTTATACTTCTTTGATTTTAACCTCTTTTGAGATATTCCGAATGGAATTTGAGTTCGAATTAGCTGAATTGAAACTCGAATCACCATGCTCACTGAGAAAATTTTGATAATTTCGGTGAAGTACATAGGAAGGTTGTGATAGTTTCGTCAATTTTTAGCCTTTTAGGTGAATTTATCAAGTAGCTGATTAGATAATACTTTGTCATGTGCCCTCATGTAGATTAAGTTGCAATTGATGCATTGAGTCTATAGATGAAACAATCAGCCGTAATAAAGTTGCCAATTTGGCTAACATGAGCTCGTAAATTTGTTAGATTTCTGTGAGATTGTTTCGTTTTGTTACCTTAGATGACACCAATAAGTGAAGTCCTTATCATCTAGCTTGATTTTCTTTGAACAGGCAAAGGAAATAGCTGAAGAAGTACCAAGCGAAATAGAGAAGAAACAGAAAGAAGTGGAGGAGCGATTACAAGTTTTGAACGCAAAGAAACACAATCTAGTCCAAGTGCTTAAGCAGGTTCGTCCATTGACTCTTCTAATCTCTATAGTAGTATTTCCATTTATCAAAGTATTCATACTTGTCAAACTAAACGGATACACAGATTTTGAATGCTGAGGAAGAATTGAAAAGGCGCAGCATCGTGCAGCAACAAGGAACAACAGCGACTCGACCTTCCCTTCCACTCCATGTGGATGTCTCTAATGATTCAGGAGGTAATCCTGGTGCTCATATGGAAGGTGGAGAAACAGATGACGCAGCGAATCATACCAATGCTCAAACTCGCACTGTTCTTCGACTATGTGGTGCTTCTTCCTCATCTGAATCTCCTCTGAGAAGAGCAGCGGCCATTTCGCAACACAATATGGTAAATGCTCAATGCTCATTGTATATACACGATGGAAACGAACTGTTATAAGTGTATAACATGCTTGGAATCTCGTTGTTTCTGTTTGTCAGGTTCCACATCCTTCTCGATGGAGCTCACGCGTTGGTCCGTCTCAACCCGGGACTGCTTCTGCTTCAGGAACAAACTACATTGCGTCTTCTCCTTCACCAGTTGGTTCTGGTGGCACTTCTGTTTTCAGAGAATCACGGCTTCAGAGTCCATGGAATTAGCCAGCTTCTCCTCTATTGCTTTCTGTTATTTGCACTAACTAGTAACTATACCTCTCTGTGTTCTTTGTCATTTTGTAGCTGTGAACAAAAAAAAACTAATGTGAAATGAATGACAGAAGATGTGTTAATATCAATTGATGTATAAATATCATGTTTCAGAGTCATCCAATATCTTATTAGTGTACTTTGATTCTCTTGTAACTATTATCTCAAGTTTAGGTTCCAATGAAAAGAAACAAAAAAATCTGGATTCCAAAACCAATAAATATACGGTTCGGTCTGATTGAATTAACTTGGAAACAATAACCAAAAATTCCAAACCATACCAATTCGGATAAACCGAATAAGCGGCGGAGTTGAAAAAGAAGAGAAGACTGCACTTTGATTTCTCGACGCCGCCGAGAGAGAGAGAGAGAGAGATGGGGATAGTAGCTAAAGTTGGAGATTTGTCGTTCAAGGCTTTCACGGCGGGGCTAGGGATCGCCACCATCTACCTCACCGGCACCTTCTCCTTTAATGTCTACCGTGGCCTCTCTTGGCACAACGCTCAATCTGTATGTTCTTCTCTCTTCGCTCTCCATCTCTTACACGTATCCAGCAGAAATGATCTAATAATTTGAACAAGCTCTGATTTGACTGCTGAGATTCCAAATTCTGTGCATGCGTTCCTGAGAGTTTTATACTGTTTGTTTCGAGTATCAGTTGCTAGTTCTGATTTTGATGGAAATTAGACCTAATTAGTGATTGGTTCTTGTCTGATAAACAACGTTTTTTGCACTGATAGAGTATATCTCCGCGTCTTGCTATGATGATTGGGAATTTTCTGATGATTGATTATGTTGTATCAATCTGAATCACTTGGTCAGTCCTAAAAAAATGATGATATTTCTGGGATTTAGAGATTACTGGTTTGGTTCAGATCAAATACCCTAGAACAACTGTGATGAGGTGTTTATCTTTCTAGCAGCAAGATCTTATCCTAGATTTGTGTTTGTAGGAAACTTAGCGTTGGTCTCTTAGATAACTGGAACGGAACTAGTCCACCTTTTATTCAACTGTTATTTATGTAATAGATGCTAAGCTCACACTGCAGATTTGATATGATTGATGTAGGAGCATGATAAGATATGAAGCAGTGTACACTCTACTTCTCTTATGCAATTTAGCAAACCAGAAAGACTCTCAACCAAAACCCTAACCAAACTCTATAAATATCCGCAGACTAAACAATCTCCTGCGGACACACTTATAACCTTAGTCCTCACTAGCTTCTTTCTAACGGACTACAACCTTTGCGCTATGCTATATTCACTCATAGGCAAGGACCGCTAGGTATAGTAGACCTGTAGCTAAGAGTTAACAGATCAACTAAATCTTCACATTCTTGTCTACTGTGTCTTGGCTTAACAGAGAAATTGTGTGCATTAGGTTGCTAAGGTTGTTGTCATGGCTAATATTCATTCATCTTATGCAGTTTCTTGGATGAGGATATAACCTACATTAGTACCAAAGGGTTAAATACTTTTTTTCCTCAATCTTCAGAACCGTTTTGGACGAACTCACTCGATGTTCATGTTTCTGTACCTTAATGATGCCAATATTAAGAGATTTCTCAACTTGTAGATGAGATTTCTTGTAACGATTCATGGTTTCGCTTTCACCTTTTATCACTTGATCTTTCGTTTTTGTAGACTTCACTTACTTTGTGACATTGTGTTATGTCCGTCTGGACTATAATATACATACACCTCTGTTAATGTCTGTCTTGTCCAAAGCTAGAGCCATTTTGTAACGTTTTATGTATCTTACTAAGAGATCCTGTTTCTTTTTTCCTTGTAGAAGCTGGATTTAGAGCAATCCGAAGAACAAACCGAATGATCCGATTTCAGCTGCCCTATCCCTCAAGTAGCAGATGCTTCCGTGAATCTTTGCGAATGTTTTCTTTCCGTAAACTTGGTATATCTTTGTTTCGATACTAGGAGCAACTAAATAAATGAAATTCTTTTGTTTGATAAATTCATTAAACTTTGTAATATGATTCTAAAACTTCCATAATACCAAAGGAGCCAACTTTTCCTATACTTACATTATATTACAGACAAGCTGTTAGAATCTGTGAATCAAGCAAGATAACATAAGTGCGATGGTCTTCTTTGGTTTTTAGTTCCATTGAAATACT